CACACACACAGTTGCTAAGAGAGGGAGGTGCCAAGCCGTCAAGGCACCATCCTCTGTTGCATTAATATGGATGAAATCGTAGCTTCTCAGCATGATGTTACAGTAGCTGAACATCTACAGCCAAGGAGAGGCTGGTCTGACCCCAGAAGTCAAGATGGGGTGAGGCAAGTTCCTGGCAGTAGGAATATGTCCCCCCATGCCCTGCCAGAGGCTCTACAAAGCTTCAACATTGTGAGAGAATGGTTGCCTTCTCATTAAGTCTAAACACACCACAGAAATAAAAGCGGCTTCGCTGCCAAATGCAGATGTGAGACCAAATTAATCCTGTATGATGTAAAGATCCCATACAGAAAAGTCTGAGTCACCTGCAAAAATATACAGAGGCAAAAAGAAACTTACTGATTCTTCAGCTCCACCCACCATGCTCTAACCATGCCTGTTTATCCCCACTGGCATGCCCCTCTTTGAAAGGATTCACAAGTCAGATTCACCAAATGTAAATAATTTTTGCTAGATCAGCACTGGAGAGAATGAATCCAGCACCACTCTTGTTGCTCCTCAGGAGATGTGATATCCTGCCCCTCACAGAGCACATTTTAAAGGGGTGCCAAGACTGCCTCACAAAGATAGGCCTGGCAGGATGGATACATCTGGCCATACTCTTCCACTTCAGCTCATATCTCACAGTGCTCTCCCTGATGGATAACAAGAAGGCTACCTTGCTCTGAGAAGTGACTGCAGATGCTCTTAAGTCCAGGCCTCCCATCATTACAGAGAGGAGTAGAACAGCAGCTGATCTCCAGCCTCCCTGAGAGTTCTGGCAGCATATACTGTCGGCGGCACAAAGTCTCCAGGGCACATGTCCGGTACGTCATTTTCCAGGCACCATTGATCACTAGGAATCAAAGAAAGTGATGGAACATAACACATCAGACTATAAGCAGGGGATCTCATATTTACACTGTCTAATTTAGGGATGGGGATATTCCACAACTCTCAGAAGTGATCAACTAGCCTGAACAGTGATTAGCAAAGCTGGGATTTATTGTTCAATAAGATCTGGAATCCTACATGTTTCCCATGCATTGCTTCATGTCAAGGTGAAGATTTCAGGTTTTGACAACCCTCTAGGCCAGCTTTCCCCAATTTGAGTAGCCTCCAGATATGTGGACCAACTTCCAGAATTTTCCAGTTAGCCTAGTCATTGCTGAAAATTCTGGGCATTGAAATCTGGATTGATGGTGCTCAGCTCATCAAAGAAGAAGGCTGCTTTGCACTCTTGTCTTGGCCACAGGGCATCTCTTCCTTTTTTTTTTATCATTATCTCCCCAAGTTTCCTCTTCCACTTTTTCTCCAACCTTTGTTTCTTCAGCTTCTTCTGAACTGCTCCTTCTTCCAGCTCTGCAGCTGGGTCTCTCTCAACCAATTGTCTCTCTACTTCCTAAAGCCCACCATTTCCTGTCCTCTCACCACAAGTGCTTTCCATTCAGACCAGTTGAGCTAGTGACCAAGACCTATTGTCTGCCATATTCTTCTTCTGACAATGTACCTACTCAGCCAATCATCAGAAGTTCTAGGACCTTGTTTCCTCCAGATTCTCCTGAATTTTCTTTCTGCCTTGCTCTTTTGAAGAAGCTCAGCCAATAAGAGTCAGAAACTCTCCTACCCTATGACATCAGGGAAGCTCAGCCAATCACTGCAGGAGGCATCATCACCAGCTTCAAGCTCCCTTAGCACATTATCATTTCAACCACATATCCTCTAAACTTTTCATTCCAATCCTTCTCAACAAATTCTCCCCCTTATTTTTGAACCACACCCTGATGTTCAGCTTATCCAACTCAGCTCCAACAGGACCTACGCCACTGAATATAACCATAGCAAGTATTTATCCTACCTTTGCCGTTACATGAGAACTTTGTAGAAAGCCTAAACACAAAATGTTGTGATTATCTGGGCCCCTAAAATATTGCACAAACAGTGACAGGGAACAAAATTTGACCCTGTAAAATGCATAAATCAGAACAATCAAGAGCCTTCATTTCCCAACGTGGAATTTTCCTGTTGTATTGGGTCATAACTTCCAGAATTGCTAGCTTGGAAATTGGAATCTAACAAATTTGAAAGGCACTTCTAGCGTATTCATGTCTACCTAGCAGAAAATCTTACTCACTAATTTGTGTTCAACTTTCAGATAGATGGGTAGAAAGATCATAGACATATTGCATGCACCTGCGCTCAAAAATTCTTCACTCCTTTAACATCATCCCCTAACATGTTCAAGAAAGGTCTCAGTTTACCAGTAAAATCCATGCACTGGTTCATGTCCCCCAAACACTTGACCCGAGTAGCATTCCCTTGAGCACAGTCCCCTGTGCCCCGATCAAAGCAGCTGTAGCATTCCATGCCATTGGCCACTTGATGAGTGCTGGCTGGAGCTGGGAAGGAAGAGGGAGAGAAGGATATTGCTGATCGTGGTTCTTTAAAAATATAATTTTTTCATTATTACACTTACTTATATAACATGCCTACCCCAAATTCTGGGGAGTTTGCAAGCATAAAAACCAAAGTATCATAAAGTCCAAAAAACCAACATGCCTAAAAATATCCATACATTCCAACATCATATCCCAATTAAAAATTCGGCCAACCATCACCACTAAGATTCAAAACCCACCACAATCAAATCATCTTTACTGGCTTGCAAAAGATCAAAGGTGAGGGAGCCAGGAATACTTTTGGAAAGGGGTTCCAAAATATTGTGGCCACCACAGAAAACGTCTGCCTTCAAAGCCATGTCTCCTTCACCTCTTGGAGGCTCAGGATTTTAAGCATCTCCTCCCCAGATGACCACATAAGATGGATAGAATCCATCTGCAGGACGTTGTCCCTAAGGTATCCCAGGGTTTCACCTTGCAGAGCTTTACAAATTAAATCAGCACTTTGATTTGGGTTTGGAAGCCTTTTGCTAACCAGTGAAGTGACCAAAATCACTTTGGGCTTCAGAAAAGCTAAAAATCTTCGGCCTCAAAGCATTTCTACCAGGCAGAATCAAACTCTAGTCACTTTCTTTTCTCTCTTTTGCTTCTGAGAGATGGGAATAGGTCTGTTTTTCAAACAAATTGGGAGAAACCGCTTCCTCCTCCCCCATTTTCCCCCACCACAACACTATGAGGTAGGCTGGGCTGAGAGAGACTGATGAGCCCATAATCACTTACTAAGCTTCCATGGCTGAGAGCAGACTAGAACCTAGGTCACTCCAGGTCCTAGTCCAGCACCTTAACCATTACACCACATTGGCTCTTATTGTCTCTTTCTCACTCACTCAACAGGCTGGTGTTCTATCCTCCATACTTACCACCTGTGAACCGGATGTTGCAGAGATCAGAGTCACAATAATATGTGTTGTGTACTTCATGGTCGTCTTCTGAGTAGACATTAGCTGTGCGGTTAGATACACCTTCCCCTGAACAGCCTTTCATCACATACTCAGCAATTTCCAGATCTGCGGTTTAGAAATACATGGGCTTGAGGGGGCCAAGAAAATCAGTTGAATTTATGGTGAAGCCATTCCATTATGGCTTAGAATTATATGAATTAGGCCATGATGGTTGGATCAACAAACCATAACCCTAAAAGGCTGGGCTGAGCATGATGGTTGAGGGCAGCCAGAGATAGCAGATGGTTAGCTAAAGGCAGCCATGCAGAATTTCTTCAGATCTGATGCCACTAACTGATTTTTCTGCCTTAGGCCAAATATACTTACTTTCATCTAAATCTCTATTATTAATAAAGCACAACAATGACTATGTTCACACAACATGTTTAACCAAATCAGGTAAAGATTGAGGTTTTATGTGGCTTAGGGCACATACAAATTCAGACTATCTTTTCTTTTGTCCTTGAGTGGGATCATTTTCAGTTCTGGTCCATCTTCCTCTCATATGCATATGAAATAAATTAGGAAAATTCCTTCTGAGCATGCGCAGAGAGGATTCCAGCCTCATGGTTAAATAGTCATAATCAACCATTGTATAGATTGGTATTTATTTTAAAATTAAAAACACTCCCAAGTCAGGTTGAACCTTGTCCTTTTGGATCAAAAATAATAAGTTCCATCCAACTCACCTGGAAGCAAAAAGACTCCTGTGTAGTTATTTGAATCTGGAAAAGAATTGAAGCCAGAAGATCAGTAAAGTATATAGGAGTTTGTCACAGGCAGAATTCAGACGTAAATGTTCCCAAATTGGGCATGTTGTCTAGGAATTCTAGGAATCAACATTTGTGAAGAATACCAGTTTGGGGAAACTGCAGTTCTCCAGGTGCTGTTGGACTCCAGCATCCTTCAGCCCCAATCATTGGTGCTATTGACCAGGAATTACATAGGCCTGGAATCCAAATGCATAGGTGCCCCATCCCTCAATTACACAGGGTCTGACTAGCCCTCCCATGAGGTGGTGAGGCAGTCATGTCATGCTGGGGGGAAGAAAGAACCCAGATTCCCTTGCCAGAAGAGCTCCTGAATCCTCCAGCCATTCCACTCTGTTGGAGAAGGGTCCATTAAACTAGTCTGCATTCAAAAGCCCAACCTTCTCCAAAAGTAGTCACTGTTGACAAGAAATGCCATCCTATCTCTTATCTCAGGCAGCACAGCTCTTCAGGAGAAATGGGCCAGAACATTGCCAATTTCTGGGGGTTGACAAAAGAAAGAGTATAAAACTCCCATCGGCTTGAGGAGGCTCCACACCAGAGATGTAAGCATTCAGAAGAAGCCAGGATGAGGACTTCCAGAGGAAGAAATGGTGGACTGAAGACATCTCTGCGAAAAGCAGAACCAACAACCACAGTGGAATAAAGAACCAGCAAGTAGACAGGCTCTTTGAAACCTCTCTGGACAAGGGGAGGACTTGAGGTCACCCACAAGTGCTCCAGACAGCTGCTCCTTGCAAGGAAACTACAAGAAAGCAACCTCCAGTGGGTTTAGAGCTCTGAGAGACAAGGGAATAGTCACCTTGCTCAAACTGAAGCCAGCACTTTTATGGACACAGGGTTCGCTATATTTCTTTTTCTAATCACTTTTGGAAATTGTTAACTACTTTTTAGCTATTAGAAACCTTTTTAACTTAAGTTTAAGAACTTTAAAAAACATTTTTTTGAATAAACAGCAAAAGGGTGATTAAAACTTTTATTTTAGAAAGTTACAGATGGACTAAGGGTCCAGATAAATTTGAAATAAGATTTTGAATTAATCATAAAGAATCCTTCCCATGGGAAAATGCTTTTGTTTGGAATTTTTAAAAAAACGTAATATGTTTTTTCAAAATTGGACACTAGAGGGAACCAAAGATTGTGATTAAAGGAGAAGAACACATAAACTCAACTTATAATTACAGAATGAAGCAAAATATTCTAACATTGGATATACTGAGGGATATTTTTGAAAAATCGATTCAAAAGTTAATATTAATAATGTTAACAGAGACATCTGCCTCTATGGAGAGACTGTGTCTAAATGATGTTATGGAAGGGGAACAAGTTTTACCTGACAAAATCGAGACTGAGTTGAAAATGGATTTACAAATGACAGGCTAGAAGAATGACATGGGAAAAGATGTTACACTGGACATACAAAAGAAACCAGCTAATATCTTAATAATTAAAAGGGATATACAAACAATAAACCAAGAGAGTGTCCTGGATAATTTTCCTATACTGGATTTACAAAAGAGGCTCATTAAAGTTTTGAAGAGTCTTATGAGAAGGGACAAAGAAAAAGTGAAATCAAGTTCTACAATTATTTGAATGGACTAAATTATTTGAATGGACTAAAGATTAAGAAGTAAAAGGAAGGTATATAAAGTTGATTTATTTGGTCAAGGTTAAAATAGATACGCTGTTATTTCGGGTAACCCTTAATGGACTTTTGCTGACACCAGGACTGAAATGACAATGCTTTATGGATTTGTTAATAGATTAGAGATGAGATATGGGAAGAAGAGATTATTTGTTGTATTTTAAGAGGAGGTGATAAGTTTATACTTGTGATGAAGGTGGGAAGTCACTTGTTTATATATGTCTTTTTCTTTACTATATTCTTACTTTTTTTCTTTTCTATTTCTCTTTCTCTTTTTTCCTTTTCTCTTTCTTTTCTTCACCTTCTACTCTCTCTTTTTATTCTTCTTTCTTTTAATTTGTATTAGTTTTTACTATTGTAATTATAATCTTTAATAAAATTACTATTAAAAAAAAAACAGAAGCCAGGATGACATCACACATGTTATTGATGTCATCATCCCAATCATACATCATTTGTATAAGTTACACAATGGTATCACGGCATGTGTGAAACTACTTGCCCCCTTCCCCCTATGGATGTCTTTAGTAGGTGGGGACAGCGGCTATTTGGAAACAGTGGCACCAGGAGTTTGAAGGGGTAAAATGGATTCTGTAAGCATGTGCCCCTTAAAGCCTTCCAGACTCCCCCTTAAATGCAAAAAGGGTCCCAAATTTTAGGTCACACCCCCCATGGAGAGCACTGAAGGCCATTAGCCGGCACTTCTTGCAATCTGACCAAAATGTTCAATTTTGAACAGAAAGGTGGATATAATTGAAGTAAATAAGTAACATAAGTAAGTACATAGTATTGGGGGAGTCTCCTTACAGAAAAGTTTGATGGTAGATGAGAAGCAGGAGCGATCCCTCGGCGTGCACAATTGCTCTGATTGGACACATTCGTGGAACATCCCCACACACTGGTAGCACCGTAGGCCGTTGACTACAGAGAAAGAAACCCATTGGCAAAATGGCAACAACATTGGGAAAGACTTCTGTCAGGTTTTTTGGCCACTGCCTAAAACACAAAGTGATCCTTCAAGCTCAATTCTCTCAGAGTTCTCTGTAGCAAGATTTACTGAGATGAATAGGGTAGGGTTACAAGAATTCCAGCAACTGAACTGTTTGTCATTTAGAACCAATATATCATTGGTGCACTAAGACAGAAACCTATTTATTTTCCTTCTTTCTATGATCAGCAAGAAGGCAGATCTCTTCACCAATAACAGAGAAACGTGTAGCTGGCTATTTACATCTGCCATTTTTATCAGCCTGGGAATCCACTCTTACAATTGACCTAGGAAGCAGGTAGAAGGATTAATATCCCAAACGGTGTATGGGATTCCTAGGATGAGCAATAAGGAATTGTGGGAAGGGGGAAAGAACAGCTGAAGGAGACAACCGTCTGCCAGCTACCTTGCCTTGTGTCCCCTGAAGAAGCCTGACATTCTTGAGTGGGGTTGGAATCACTGCCTTGTCAGCACTGTTGAAATAAGATTAGTCTGGCTGCTGCACTGGAGTTGGGACTAAAACTCACCTGATCCTTCACCTCACATAGTTGATTCGCATTCAAATCAGACCACTGACTCAGCTTTCCTGACAGTGTCCACCTGGTTGGCTTTGGTCTTTCCAGGTGTACCCAGACCCTGACCAATGATGGTTGAGCTAAGGATGAGGGAATTGTAGATGCAATCTTCAGCATCTTCCCTGAGGTAACACTGCTACCTTTTTTGCACCTGATATGAGGAACAGGTGGTTCTTTGTGCATGTGTAAAGTGGCTGTGGGTTTCCCACTTTATACAAAGCAGTTCTTAGTTGAAGCCAAACTCCATATGAAGATCTGACCATCTTGAGTGCAGTTTAAGGACCAAAGGGACAGCAGGAGGGGTTTTGGAGTTACCTAGCCACATATCGCCTTCAGACAATCAATTGTCCAACCCTGATCTCTGCCTTCTTCTCAGTGGTAGGACGGACTTATCTTTCTTCCAGTTCAGACATTAGCAATTATTTTAAAATTGACACTAAGCATACACATTAGCTTTTGCAAAGCATGCAGCTTGATGCTGCTGAGGGTGGGGGGTGGGGAGGGGATAATGCATTTTCTTTTTTAAAAAAAATGGATAACTGGCTGCCCAGTGTCCTTGTGTGAACATCGCATTCAGTAGTATAAGCGTTCACATAAATACTGTATAACTATTCATTGCTGTATTTTTAAATATAGCCCTACCACTTATTCTATATTTTAAGGATGTTTATTATTTAGAAATAACATGATTCACCTCTTTTCAGGTTAACATGGAATGTACTTGTATCTGTTCCTTTTTTTTTTTTTAGTTTGAATTTTATGTACAAAAAGCCATTTCAATTTAACCTGTCACCTATATTAAGTGATTGAGATTTTCCTGTTACCTGTTTCCTTTTCATGTTGCATTTCAAAATTGTTACTGTTGTTTTTTGTGACATTCCAGCTAAATTAGACATGAGAAACACCTCTCTCACTTTGGTTAATTTATATCTCATTCATTTCAATGGGACATAATTAGGGGTAGCTGGCTATATTAACACAACAGACTTAAGCAGATTACTAAATTGATCAATTTTTCTGGAGTTGCACAATGCAGAGATTAAACTACACATAGTTACCAATTAGTAAGTAGTTGGTTCACACAATACCCTAAACTATCCCCCCCCCAAAAAACAGTTTGAACATAAGTGTACAGTAGTAAGTTATGTGCATGCCACCCTGGAATTCTGATTAACCAAGGTCGAAGTAACCACAGCCATCTAATCTGAATGGTACTCACAAATTCTAGGAA